GGTAAATGAGTCAGGTGGGGACAGTCACACAGCCTCAGAGCCCCAGAGCAGCCGTCCAATACACAAACAGTGGGGGTGATAAAGGGGATGGTTGCCATAGCAACTGCCTTTTCACAGCAAAAATACATATATGTTTTTGTGCTAATGAAAAGAGCATGTTCTTTTTCTCTTTCTCCTCCACCCCCCTCATCCCACTGTCCACAGAAAGAAACGTCTATTTAAATGCAGTTTAAATAGACTGTGGGTTTTAACCCTGTGTGTGTGTCCCTCCTCCCTCTCTTTGACTCAGGTCCAGACTGCTCTCTGTCCGTTCCCTCCACTGAGGCCTTCTGGGTGCTGCCGAGCGTCAAACCGTCAGCTCAGTCTCTGGGCCGGGCGTCCCATCGGGCCCTGGTGCACTCTGGGCTGATGTGGGTGGTGGGAGGATACTCTTTCAACTACTCCAACTACCACATGGTCCTCAAGTAAGCAGCAAGCAGCAGCATCAGCAGTTTGACTCAGCAGCCGTCTGTCTGTCCGTCCTGTAAAACTGATCTCAGGGAGACAAAACATGCCTTTAATGTTCTGCTGAGTCACTATATCTTATCGAAAAAATCTTTTAAACTTAACTCAACCTGACTGATCCGTCTTTGAATAATAGGCTTTAAAAAATCCGCTGGATGCCGCTGTGTCTTTAAATAGTTTACCTTTTCATTTCGCCTCCTTACAGGAAGTTGGCAACTAAAGATTCTCTCCAGACATGAGGGGAACTCTGTTAGGTCCGATTTTCAGAAGAAAGCAATGTTTTTTTCTCGAAATATTATAATTTAGGAGGTTTTTCTAAAGAGAGTTATGTAACATGATACAACAAAAAAAGTATAATACGGTCAAATACTTTCCTAAAAACATGCTCTAGCGCTTCATTTGTCATTTTATGGTGAAGGTTGTAAATCTACGCTAATGGAATTCCTGCAGCGATCTAAAATAGCCGACAGATGCTTCTCCAAGCTGACACTTTGGCACGTGAACAGGTGAAATGAATAACATTGGCAACGAGTAAGCCAGTGACGGGGCCCTGGTGTTGTGCATGCCGGCTCACTACAACTGAACCAAAGAGGTCTGTCGACTCCTCTCACTGCAGACACTTTGACTCTTCAGATGCAGGTGTAACTAATAATATCATCTTCAGCTCCAGATCCAGGGCCTTGGTATTGTGCATGCTGGCTTTAGCACCTGTATGGAGCGGAGCCATCGTTAATGTTATTTGTTCCACCTGTGCTTTTGTCATTTCCTTACACAGTTAAATGAAACCTCTGTCATACCACTTACAGGGACTTAAATTATACACAAAGTGATTCACTGTTAAAGTCTTGCGCTGTGTTTTATTCTCTGATTCATTTCCGTGTACAGCTACAACCTAGAGAGCGGTACGTGGGACGTGGTGGCGGTCAGCAGCGGTCCTCTCTACAGATACGGTCACTCGCTGGCTCTGCACCAGGTAATATAGCTGTGGCTGCTTCATTTCACTCAGAGAGGAAGGCAATACAGTGCTGTCCTCTTGATACACTCGTATCAGATAAAAGATGTACAAAGCAGTCAGGTTTTTAATTTGCACTTCACGCCTCCACACACACACACTCAGTACAATGTGCCAATCGGCCAATTTCAGTTGGCAGTTCTCATGAAACCTCTGAGACTTGAGCGCACACAGCAGACACGCTTGTTTTACGGAGACATTCTACCCAGACCTGCAGACTCTTCACCTCTCACCCTGCAGTTTCACGCTGATATTTTAGGCGGCTTCTCGACCATGTTGTAGATGCACGGTTCATGCACCGCAGACAGAGACGTGGTGACAGTTGCATGGGCTGCACTGATGTGGGGTAAAGTGCACGTTAGAGCATGTTAGTCTGTCATTAGAGACTTAAAGGAGCAGTCTGTTAGGATTTGGCAGTGTAGAGGTTGAGGATTGCAACCTACTAAATACTGCTCCACTCACCCTTTCCAAGCGTGTCAGAGAACTACAGTGGCCTTCAGGTAACGTAAAAAAAAGCAAGAGCCAGTGTTTGTTTTGTCCGTTCAGGGCTACTGTAGAAACACTCGTGTAGATATGAGGAGCTCATTTTAAGCTAACGAAAACACAACAATTCTTAGATTCAGGTGATCACTATCATATGTGTCATGTGAGAGGTGTCACTTGAGATAAAACCGTGTCAATAATTGAGCATGAGATATTAAAAGGTGCTGGTGGTTGGATTTAGTTTAATTTGGAGCCAGGCCAACAGTTTCCTCTTGTTTCCAGTCTTTGTTCTAAGAACAAAATGACAATTTGTTCATAGCGACCACACCAGCAGACGCTAATGGGGACCCCATTAACGGTAAACGATATGCTTATTGGAAGTGCTGCTTGCACGGATGAACGGTTCTCGTGAAATGCCAAGGACGCGTACATGTAAACAGAAGGAGATTCCTCGCTTTATGGTGAGATGCTGCTGCTACAGCGATATCTATTGGCGAAATGGCACCAAACACGACATGGTCACCCAGGACATTGTATCCTCAAATGTCACCCGAATGTGATCACAATAGCACAAAGCGCTCAGGTGATATTATATCTGTATGGAACATCAATAATCAGAAAAATCTACATTTCACGGCTTCATCCAGAGACGTTTTGTACCAAAAGTAGTGACGATTGATCAAAATGTGTAGGAGGAGTAGCAAAAAAACTGATTTGGACACAAGTAAAATTGATAGATATTGATAGATTAATCTGGAACAACAGGCGTATGAGCCTTATGGTTGAAAAGTTACAAGCCAAGAAGTAAAGTTTTTGCACCACATTCGACAAAGTGTGATGTAGAGCAGACGAACGCTTCTCAAGATATGCTAAGAAGAGAATCCTGAGACAGAGAATCCTCGCCTCATAGTTAAGTATGCCAATGTTGTTTTTACAGCTTATTGCACTGCACCCAAGTGGCCAAAAATCAATAATGGGTTTAAAAAAAGGAGAGACAAAATGAACTCAGGCTGCTGAAGCCTCATTTTGGCTTCAGGTGTACTGTAGAGCCTCCTCCTCTCAAACCATAATTTTTTTTTACCTCAGAGGCCAAATTCTCCATTACCATATAAATGAACAGCCGCTCTGAGGAGGTTCTTCACAAGTGGAGCTGTGGCTCTCTGGAAGCAGCGTCCACGGCTCAGACAAAACGACAGATCATCACGTTCTCCTGAAAAGCTCATCAAGAGTCTTCTCCCTCACGTAGGACGACATCTACATGTTTGGCGGGAAGCTGGAGGCCAAATCGGCCAACCTGACGGACGAGATGTGGGTGTTCAACATCCCCCGGCGCACCTGGTCACTGCGGAAACCGGCCCCGCCTCCTCCCTACGCCCTGGAGGGACACAGCGCCCACGTGGTGGAGCTGGCCGACGGCGAGCAGGTGATGCTGATCTTCTTCGGCTACTCGCCGACCTACAGCTACATCAACAAAGTTCAGGAGTACAACATCAGTAAGTGCACCTGCTGACTCTGCTGTCATCGATTTGTGTTAATTCGATTTTTTTTCTTCTTCAGTGATTGTTTAATTGCTTTTTATTGATGGAAGTCAAACACAAAGGGAACCTGTTGACATTTCCCAGAGGCCATATTGAGTTATTTGAATACAGACTCGTTGTCATGATTGGTATTTTTTAAATAATCTCATGTATATTCTTACTTTGAGGATGGATCGGGCCGAAATTGACATTCTATGTCATTCTTAGAATGTCATAGAATGTCAACACCACACGAGCTCCAGTCGTGTGATTAACCGGTTCATTCCATGCTTATCGTCATTATTTATGATGTGAACACACACTTGGCCAGAAGACATAACAAGTTGAAAATGAGAATCGCTGCTCATCGACCAGAGATCAGACGGGTGAATCTCAGATTTAAACCTCAAACAATTCTCTCCTAAAACACACACATTCAAGAAACTAAATCCCACTGTTACAGTCAACCTTTCCTGGTTTAGAAAGTGAAGGGAATGGACTGTGAGCCAGAGCTGATCACACAACATCAGTGTTGAACTCCGTGCAGCCAGATTCCAACACCCGGTAGAAAAGCTTCCCAGAGTGGCCTCCACTCTTCTTTTGGTTTGGGAGTGACACGCTCAACCCACAGATGGGTGTCATATTTTAGTTGTTCTCATACTTATTGTGCGATTGCATGCGTTTATTGCCTCCCTGATTAGCCAGCAGATGGCGGTGTCACACAGTAAACCGACAGCCAAAATTAGAGTTGAAACAATCTGGAAAAATAAAACACATGTACACGCCATCCATTAGACATGCATCCCGTGTGTGCAGCTACAAACACACACACACACACACACACACACAGAGCGGTCATTAAGAGGAGGTGGCACCCAGGCTGGAGCGTCTGGGAGAAGACAGTGATTAATGAATCCAATGCATTCCCTCACTCTCCTGCCTCCCTGTTTGTCTCTCTCCTCTCTTTCCTCATCTCCTTTTCTCCCTCCTTTCATCCTCCAGGCCTACAGTGTCTGACCCCCCCCCCTCCGTCACCTCCTGCTCCTCTCCCTCACCTTTTCTCCTCCTCCTCTCCCCTCATGTGTCTATCACTTTCATCTTCGCCCACCTCCACCTCTCCTCCCTCTCTCTCTCTCTCTCTCTCTGGCGACATCGCGGCGTTAAGTCTGCACTGAGCATCATTAGGCTTCAGAGGCTAAGAGTCAGTGCAACCTGGAAAAGAACAGAGGGGTGCGGAAGCAGAGTGTGACTTATGAGGTAAAGGGATTTAATGACCAATCAGAGAGGCAGGTTCACAGCAATTAGCTGCCAGAGATGAGATAAGAGTTGACCTTCTACTTTCTCCTAGTGTCTTCATTGTCGCCCCTCTTTCTTTCTATCTTTCGATATTCTCTCATTCTCCTGTTCCTTGTCAGCGCTCCTAAATGACCTCAAACACAACTGCATTGTATTTTTTGTACTGAAATGGCTTGTTCCTTATGCCAATATAAGCTAAAATCAACAGATGACCAGCTGTTACAGTTTATGGTGTTTTGTGAATTCTACAAAGTTAAATTCTCTCTCCGCTTCTTCTGTGTCCACAATGTGCATCGAATCATTTTTGACCCCTGGTTTCTGTGGTGAGTTGCTTTAGCAGCCATCTTTGTGATCACTAAGTTTGCATTTGGTGGACAGTTGTGTCTCTTTCTGTTTTCCTCTTTTCAGGCTGTCCGGGCTTTTCTCTTTCTCGGTTTTGTACTGACCTTTTCCGAGGAGTTTATGTTTTGGTTGCTTCACAGAAATTTTTTTAAACTATTCAGTTGATTCCAGTAAAGTTTGGCGAAAAGGTCGGCCAAGAGTCAAAGCCATCATATGACCATTTATAACAAACTTTATGTTTTGTGTTTAAACAGTTCTGTCTGTTAAACACATCGTTCATTTTCGATTGTGAGCGATCCTGCGACTTGTTTTGTGATTTACAGATCACCATTTAAATGAGATGGTGATTGGTGATCTCGAGTCTGACTCGTGAAAGTATTCAGAATGTTATTGGTTAAAATGATAGCTGTCATCAGCCAGTGGGTGTATTTACATGCAGATTCTTGATGCAGATTACATTTGAAGTAAAAAAAAAACAAACTAACATGGAAGATTTTGTGCTTTCTAGTTCATTTTGTGTCTTTGTTTCTCTCTCTGCTCTTACTGCTCGAGCTCTCGGGGGTTTACCGCTCCAGATGACGGCTCGTTTTCTCAGGCTTTTTGATTTCCTCCTCTTTCTAAGGCTTTGTTCGTCGTGTTGTGTCTCTTCTTTATTGGGGGCTGCTCGGGTGATGTAATCCCTGCTTGTTTTTAACAACATTTTCTATGCACCGGAATTCATCGGTATGCATCACGCTGGTCTAATAAAGGGGCACTTTCCAATTCAATAAAGTCTAATTTCCTCTCTCTTACTGTTTGGCTCAGTCTCTCCGCCTCTCTGCTCTTCTCTTCCCTCGCTCTATCTCACCTGCTGAATGAAATGTGCTTTTGTTTCTTTTTGGCACGAACGTGAAACGCCAAAACCTGCCAAAGCATCGAAACTTTTTTTTAAAGTCGTATACTTTGATCCATTGCAGTAATTGGGCCTCTCTTGTGTCTCAGGGTCGAACTCGTGGCAGCTCGTGTCCGCTGAAGGCGCCGTGGTCCAGGGAGGTTACGGCCACAGCAGCGTGTACGATGAGGCCAGCGGCTGCGTGTTTGTCCACGGGGGATACAAGGCTCTCAGCAACAACAAATACGGCCTGGTGGACCACATGTACCGCTACCACGTCCACACGAAAACATGGTGAGGGCACGGAATAATGTTGACACCTATTGACACCTGCCAAAATGCAAATTGCACTGACGTCCATCAGGACCTTATCAGCTGCCTGCATCGCTGTGTAAAAAGCCAGTCATCCATTATCTGAACCGCTTATCCTCTCTGGGGTTGCAGAGAGCCGGAACAAATCCCATGATGCACTAGGTCAGAGGCAGGGTGCATTCTGGGCAGGTCGCCAGTCTTTTCAGCGCTGACACATAGTTTGACAAATGCACGGACACTGTTTAAGTTACTGTAATACTATTTTTTTTTTTTTTATATACTGAAGTCAATTTGTGCATGGAGGACGATGGAAACAATTCAACAAACGTGCAATGATAACGGTTATAATACTAGTAGTTCTGTTTTTATATTGTTATGAATTGCCACCTTACGAAGGTAGAAGGAATGGGCGCGCTTGCGTCAGAAAGAGGAGAGGAGGGTGAGAATAGACGGACCTGACAGGAGGCCTGACCTCAGGTGAACCCCAGCAGATGGATGGGTGAAAGAGGACGCTCGACTCTGTCAGTCTCTCCTCTTCACTCTCTTCACAGTCACATGTGCGCTCGCACACATGCTACCTGCTGGCTCTCACTTTCCACATGGAATTTGTCCTCGGAGTCGGGTGTCACTCTTCAAATTCCCAGACCGAAGCATTAGCGGGTATTCCAGTTATTCCATACGGATACAGCTCAATGTCCGAGGGACGTGACTTGTCTCTGTATGTTTTCTTGATTAATTGAATCCTCTAGTGCTGATCTGTGAAAGGTGGCTCTGAGGTCGATGGGTTGCTTGTGTCAAAATGAGTCAAAACCTCCAGAGGTAACTATTAAAACAACTCTTAACCCACGTCTCCGCTGTTAATCTAAATATCGAGAATCTTCCCTCGTAGTTTCGCCACAGTAGACCAAACTACAGTGCTCATACCTCCAAAGTCTCACTGGAAGAAGTGTATCCAGCCATTTATAGACAAAGTTACCTGAATAGTTTTTAACTTGTGATAGTATTTGTTAAAACACAAACGATGAGCATCTCTTTATTTATCTGACTCAGTCTTTCCTGTGTGTTCAGCAGTGAATGGGCTCCGTGTGTTCCCTTTAGGAACTGTCAAATATCAAAGTCTCTGATGGAAAGTCAGAGTTGCTGCAGTAATTGAAGGAGCCACAAAAAGCCACCACAGTTGGTCTCCAATATGTCACCTTTGACCTCAAAGACAGACAGGTCACACGCAGCAGACTAAGACCTCCCACAATGTCTGTGTTGAGGGTTTCTGTCTGTGTGTGTGTGTGTGTGTGTGTGTGTGTGTGTGTGTGTGTGTGTGCTGCTCCCCCCATGAAAGAACAGTTGGTATGAAGGGCAGTCACCACAGGCCAGGTCACGCATCCAGACAGAAGCCGTCAATAACATGGCACCATGGACACACACACACACACACACACATACATAACTGACAAATTAACACTTTCCTAAAACGTCTCACTCTGCTGAGTTGCACTCTTTTCTCTGTGTGTTTGTTTCTACGTGTGTGTGTGTGTGTGTGTGTGTGTGTGTGTGTGTGTGTGTGTGTGCAGGCTGATCCTCGGGGAGAGTGGTGTGGCTCGCTACCTCCACTCTGCGGTGCTTCTGAGCGGCACAGTGCTGGTTTTCGGGGGAAACACTCACAATGACACATCGCTGAGCAACGGAGCCAAGTGCTTTTCTGCTGACTTCCTGGCGTACGATATAGGTAAGAACAAATACTAAAATAATAACACACGTACACGCCGGCTGGTACTACAGTATAATTTTAACAAATATTAGGCTAACAGTCTTATATATATATATATATATATATACGTATATACTGTATATATATAGCTCCATGTGCTCATATTGAAACTGTTCTCAAGGACTTGTCGCAGTCTGTAAACCCCTTGTACTGAACTCCTCCTTTTGTACACACAGAGCTGCCAACCACTTTGTTACACCCAACCATACACAGGCCCACTTCCACTCCTTTTGCACGTTCGCGTGGAACGTCCGCCATATTGAATTCCATCCCAAATCAAGTAGAGGGAAGTAGAAGTGGGTTATAAAATCCTCCAACTACATCTATTCTCCAAGTGTACATCAATGCTGACTTAACCAGCTGCCCCGACCACATGCAACCCCGTTCTGTGTTCGGCATGGAACGCACATGTGACTACAAGCATGTACTCTTAAACTGCTCAACCTGAGATATTTAATATTGTCGTACATACATAAAGGTAAAATGAATACATTGTATTTAGGATCAAACATACCCTTGTCTATAGGAAACGGTAGACATGTTTATTTGATTGCAAAGAGTTGGATATTTATAGAAAAAAAAGATAGATTTCGGTTGCCGCTTCCGAAAGATGCTGATATGAAATCATGGTTATAAAATGTTACAACAATGCGTGGTTTTGCCAGAGAGAGCTAATTTGTCCCGAGGCCTGCAGTTGTATTTATACCCAACACCTTAAAGGAGGGTGCATCACTCAGCTGTGAGTGTGGCTACAAACGGAGGAGGAAGGTGTTTGGAGTTTTGTTTACTGGGAAGTAGTAACGCTGGGTGACCCAGCTGATCTTGTGACTACAGGTTTCTGTATTTTCAAAAAGTGTTCAAAAAAATGTATCTAATATATTGACCATATTTACCATGGTAAATATGGTACATTAGAGCTGGGCAATACAGGAAAAAAAATCACTATTTTTGACCAAATATCTCTTTCGATATTGTGACTTTTATTATATAATCAATAATAATGTGGACATAATGATTGTGGGTAAAGGCAAATAATAGATACAGCTACAAGTACTAAAAATACATTTACTTCATTGTAATGTAATGCAGCCTTTAAAACCAGGAAAAGACAACACCTGCTGTATAATAATATCCAAAATCTAAGACGATATGGAATCTCATATCATGGTATTGATATATTGCCCAGCCCTATTCTGAATATGTATTTGTTTGTGATGAAAACAGTCTTCTACTCACGATGACCCTCTGAGAAAATAGATTTTATGGAGAGAGGGTCAAGGAGAAGAGAGAGAGAGAGAGAGAGAGGCCTACAGAAGCAGATCCCAAAGAACAAACAAGATAATCTGAAAGTCAGAAGAGTCTGTGAAGGGGGGGGAGACCAGGATTGTGTGAGGATGCAGAGGCTGCGGGATAGGTAGAGAGTATGGATGATTAGGGATCCCATTACAGGCTACCCAGTTGCACCATAGAGCAGATGGCATGAGGATGTTTCCACCCCTCGGCAGGCACAGAGAAATGGAGGGATGAAGGGACCTTCGGGAGAGGAGAAGAGGGATTACACAAACGCTTCGTAGGAGAGAAACAACAGGAAGCATAGAGATTAACAAGAGGGAAGACACAAGGGGGGATGAAGGAAAGATGGCTGTGTACGCATGGAGAAAGGTGCTGTAGTGCAGAGCGACACCAAGCAGCAGGAGGACAAAGAGAAACACAAGAGTGGAAGCAGGAGGTCGAGCAGAAGCTCGGCAGGTGAAGTTGCCATGTCCTTGTTACATTGTCGGGAAGTTGCTCAATTAATTGTGCTCTATAATGAACTTAACTCGCGGGCAACTAACTAGTTTTCTTTCCAGAGCTTTCAGTCGTGACACTTAGCTGATGTTCTCAGCTCCGTTAGGTGATGTGAGGAAACTACCTTAACCTTGGGATGTGATTAAAAAGCTGCAGATTTACACATTTTTATATTAAAGTGCAAAAGTATGTTTCTTTTTAAAATAACACAATCATAGAGCTACATAATTCATTCTGTTTGTCGGGCATTGTCATGCTGGTCCCAATCCGTCTGCTCTCCCCCTCATTATTTTATCTCCCTCAGCTGTAAATTGTCTAATAAAGGGGAAACGCCAGAGAGGATATCGGTGGAATAAGGCAGTGAATGTGAAGAAGCAATAAGAAGAAATAAGAGAGCAGAGCATTGAAGCAGGAGAGAGGGATATACACAGAGCGGGAGAGAAATAAAGAGTAAATGAAGGAGGGATTTAGGGAGAGAGAAGGACGCACCGACTCTGACCTAAAAACAATAAAGGCACGCCAGGATAAACCAGGTAATAAGCATGTGTATAGAAGACTAAATCAAAGGTAATGAACAATAAAGCGTTTGTTTACAGAGTCTCAGAGAAGTTGGGAACGAGTGTTGACAACAGTCTTTTTTATTTTTCTCCCCATATGCGTGTATTCACATGTCCCCTGACTTTATACATATCATTTATTCATTACTGCTCATAGCTGCAGATCTGCATGACTTTATTGTCCCACTATCCACCTCTTTACTTCACCGCAGAGACACAGGAGAGAGGGAGCGTAGTGATGGCTGAAAGAGGAGAAAAGGAAAGGATATGAGGGGAACATGAGTTGGAGGAAGATGCTTCAGTGAGAAGTGGTGTTTTAAAAACTTGTTTTAAGGTGCAATTAATTTTTATAGATTTTTAGGATGTTAAAGTACTAGCCAGCAGTATATGCACATATCCCTATCCCTGTCCAGGAAATAGACTGTTCTTTTCTCTGGAATATTTTGGAGGAAATCAAGGAGTCCCTAACATATTAACCTCATCTCTTCTCCTCGTCTCCTCTCCTCTCCCCCTCTGCCCTTGTCTCTCCACGAGATAATGAATTGGTTCCACCTGTGGAAGTCACTTCTTTCCATCGCTTGTTTCGTCTTCATTTGCTCCTCACCGCGAGCGGAGAGGTTTTCAGCACTAATTTGTTTTTGTTTTGCCGCGCTAACCTTGGAGGGAGGGGGGGGGGGGGTGCAACGCAACGCAACGTTATTAGCTTCTTCTGCTGCCGCACATTACATTCAGGTCGACACGGAAGGCACTTTTCATTTGGAATTAATTCCCCCCCCCCCTCAACCCTGCCACCCTCACACGTCTAATTAGATTTGGGGGGGAAAATGAACTCTGATTTAAAAACGTGGTCCTCTCCAACTTGACACACCACAGGCACACACACACACTGTCTGCTGCACACAATCGCACACCTGACACACACACACACACACACACACACACACACACACACACACATGGCACAGCCCGCTGAAGAGCCCAGAGCAGGCTGGGAGTTTGTTTGGAAGATGTTGGGAGCTGTGATATAAAGGATGAGCAAACAGTGGCTGCCGTTCAAGCCTCCTCCTCCCGCCCTTCTCCATCAGCTCCTCCATTAGTGCCGATCAGATCAAACTGCCAATCAGCCCAGCCTGCCTGCCTGCTTCGATCTGGTCTCATGATTTCTCTCTCAGTCCCACCACGCATTATTAACACAGATTTTCTCATATCCTGAGAGGAAATTAAAGTCTGTGTTGATGTGCGCGTTCGTGTGAATGCTACGTGTGTTTGTGTGTGTGTGTGTGTGTTGCTGATAGGTATCTGTTGTGCCTGCAGTTCTTTTGGTGAACAATTTGGCAGTTTGAATCTCAGGGTGGTTGTAAATGTGTGTGTGTGTGTGTGTGTGTGTCCAGGAAAGCCAGAGGATGAGATCAAGAGTCACTGAAGCTGTTCTCTCTTTCTTTTTCTTTTTTAAATTGAGAGCTAGACATTTATAGCTGTGGTTGGAGGTTGGAAGTCAGGTTTTGGTGTTTCTAACTTCACCATCGCAACAGGGCTCTTGATTCGCTTGAAGAAACCCAGAAGCCGCATGTTGTTATCTTATATTTTAACAAATGGCAACATGCAACGTGTTACAAGCAGAAACACTGCATAGCTGCAGTCACAGAAAGCCCCAATGCTTTGTCCTAATCAGACCTATAAAGTACATACAGCGCATGTAACACTCATGGATGGATGACTGAACTGCACAGCCCACCAAAGTGTCAGCCCCTGGGGACACACAAATATTAACAACAACTCTGAAAGGGCCAAAACAACCACAAAGAGATATAAAATCACAGAGATGCGTAACGACTACAAAGACCCAAAACAACAACAAAAAGAGGCGTAATAACTGTAAAGCCTGAGTGTCTTGCTTCTATGTAGAATAAGCGTAGGGTCTTTTGCATATCTGTGCCCAGGGGCCCATTGTCTCATAATCAGCTCATGCACTATTGCCAGACATAATGTTGATACTTGATGATTCTGAGAACCCTGCATCATGCTCAATGAAACCATTATTCAAGGACTCAAGGATCATTTATTGTCATTATGTAACACCGGGATGTACAATGAACTTCAGTTGTTGCCCATTTTCAACACAACAAACACATGACCGACAAAGCAAAGACAGTAGTGCATTCCTGTAGTGCATTTTTTTAAAATTTGCATCACAAGTAACCACTAAGCATCAAGATATAAACACAGAGTCCACCTCCTCTGGTCATCACACCGGAGTCCTACGGTCAACGATGGAGCCAGGTCTCTGTGAAGATGTCGGTTCAACAGTCACCGGCCTCCCGCTGCTTTCATCCATCTCGTTTTCCTGTGACTCTGGCTGGTTGGTCGTCCGTGGGCGGTGATCGTCTCCAAGTCTGTCGCACTTAATCCAATCCCCACGCTTCCTTTTCAGATGTTGATGAATGTATTCTGTCATGGGCCATTAGTGGTAAACATAAAAAAAAAGACAAAAATGTAACATTCAATGTTGGAAGTCACTGAAAATGGTTCACTTCTACGATGTCTGCTCATGAAAACAACAGGTTCAGGCTGAGGGGATATTGTGGTTAGGGAAAAGTCTTTAAAGCATTTTAGCACCGTATACTCCAGAGGGGTTTCAGCTGTCACACATCAGCACACCTAAGCACAGGTGAGAATTGGATTCGGGTCCTTGCAGGTTATATTAGCTGACAAAACATCAGTGTTAGCGAAAGATCTCAGAATAGATTCCACCAGGGCATCACAGATTCAAATCTCCAGACTGACTTGAAAAAGTCAACTTTTAATTGCAAGTTGTCAGGCAGGATATTAACCATCTTATAGCTTCTTCACAACCGTGTTACCCAACATCAACCTTTGAAGCCTGGTTCTGTTTGAATTACTATATCTACGAGTAAAAGTTTGACAGTTTTTAGGTTGGAAGATTTCTGTTCCCCCAAGTTAAGCCTTTCAGGCGTCACTTCCTAGCGTGTGCTACAGGTGTCAACTGTTAAACTCAACTCTCAACTTTATTTCTAATAGCAGCGTTCATACTATCATGCAGCCCAAAGTGCTTCAGCGAGCAAGATTAAAGCAGCACGGAAGAGAAAAAATCAATCAATCAAAGAAATTTGAAAGAATAAAAAGTAGGAACAAATGCCCAGGCTTCAGTTCAGCTTGATTGCATTGGCGTCATTGTAGTTAATATGTTGGTACGACTGACCTTTAACCCCTGCTAGTGATGACCCCCCGACACCACACCACCACCATTTACGCTCTCTGTGTGTCCTCTGCCGCATCCCTCGCTCGCTCGCTCAAACGCTCCCAATTAGCACACCGCTGAACGAGGTCATTAGCAACCTGGCGTCCCCGAGCCCCCAACTCTACCGGCTCTCCGTTTCTACATTCAGGGAGGGCTCGCCTGGCTAAATGGCACATTTACACTCGCGCACTGCAGACACAGTCTTTTCCATATGAATGTAATGGGAGCACGTAGGGGTCTTTAAAACATCAGAGAGTTTTAAAATCCAAATAGTAAAATACACAATAGCTTCAATTATACCTCGAGAGAGAGAGAGGTACTTTGTGATGATATTTGGTGGTGTGAAGTGTTTTTATGAAGTCATCTCCCAGATTATCGCCCCCTATCTTCTCCATATCACCATCATTTAACGTGAAAAGGTTAAGATAATGAGCGCTTGTTCCCTGGGATGGAATTAAAGGAGGGGGTTGAACTGTGGGTCACCCTCCTCTACGTTCGTTTGTCTCACAAGCAGTAACGTAAGTGCTCCTAATTCCGATGGAGATGGGGGAATGATGTGTCTCGTCATAATACATCTAGGGTTAATTGTTTTCAATTGTGGCAAATTTTGATGCTACAGTATCCAGTACTGTTTTATACAAGAGTGCGCCTCCAACTCCAACATGTCAGGACACGGCACATATCCAGTGGTTCTTATCAAGAGTTCAATCCGCATTAGTGTATTATTATCTACACTAACAGTTCAACCACAGTAGCCAAAAGATTTTTAAAAGATGGATGATAATATTTAGCATACTTGTTAGGTGTTCTGTGGTCAGATGCTGTGGTACAGACACAGCCAGTAGACCTACAATCATGGTCTTTACTTTGTTATTTTCTTATATTGGAACACCTCGGTGTGCATTATCTCTCCCTGAATAAACGGCTTGTTAACCAAAGCATTTTGCTGTGCTATTTGCATACATTGCTCTTTTTTTTGCAGTTTCTTCTTGACTCGACTTCAAACTCATTTCAGACACGCAAAGATCACATCTTGTATTCAGACACTTGTGTTCATGTGTATGCTTCTCTCTCTCTTCAGCTTGTGATGAGTGGACCGTCCTCCCCAGACCGGGGCTGCACCGGGACGCCAACCGATTCGGACACTCCGCCGTGGTTAGCAACGGGTGAGCTCCGTCCTTCCACACTAACCTTCCATAGTTCATCACTGCCAAACTCCATGTGGAAAACACTCGCTCCCCACTGTAGAATACCTGAGTACAGCAGCATGTTTCAATTTGCTCGAGATTTATTGCTTTGCTACGAAGGACACTTTAGCAGTGTACTTGCTGACGCTCAAATCTCGGTAAAATCTGTTAAATAATCCGCTAAACCTCTCAATTATATAGATGCAAATTAAACACATCTACACGCGATGCATTATTCCTGCACATTTTTACATTTCCTTGAAGTCTTCCTGCAGTGTCCTCTAAGTTTTGGAAGCTCTGAGAGTCTCGGTTGACTTTCTTCTCTTTGTAAGGTTGTGGTTTTGTTGTGTCAATTGTTTATGGATTGATCTCCTTATCCCAATGCTAAATTTAGTTTTCAGTTTACACTTCTCTTGTCACTTCACCCTCTGCTGACTTCTCTGAAGCTCGCTGTTCGGAAACTTGAGCAGTGTCTCTGCCACCGCACCTCTATATGTGGATGTTTGTCCTGCTTCGCTCTCTCAGTAAAACTTTCTTTGCATTATTTATGTATAGATACAATGTACACTCTGTATTTCGCTTCAGTAACTCCAGTATTCTTTGCATGCCGATCCCATTTTTGAGCCTGTATCTCTGTATTTCCCGATCTTCATTCACTCCACTTCCTCCATCCTCGTGCTGTGGTTTTTATAAGAATCTGAATTGCTGCATTGATGGTAAACCTGCATTAGCTGTTGTTGATGCAAGCGGCACTCTTCAGTCAATGTTTCCCTTGTGCTCATGAAGTTTCTTAACCTCATGGCTCAGTGTAGATAAGCTGACATTTCAGAGGTTTCTCAGAGTCCGCTGACCTTTTTCTTTGTTTTTTCTTTAACAACATTGGTGAACATAAGATCCTTAGAATAAGATTGTACAGGACTTTTTATAGGCGGGTAAAATACCAATAATAAAACAATAATTGATTCAAACTCTTAGTTGAATTTAAAGCATTTGCTCAAAGAGTTCCATCACGACTTTTTGTGACTTTTTACTGAACTCAGAAATAATGGTCTGACCCTTTAACACCATTTATCCACCAGAAAGTCAGCTTTAAGCGCAAAAATGTCAGCTTTGAACTTCAAAAAAGCCAGCTTCAAACTGAAGCGTTTTTCCCCCCGAAAACCAAAGTTCAGCTTTAACTTTGAGAGGTTCTCCTGCTGCTGTCTTCATCTCTGCAGGCATTTCTTGTCTCTTTCAGACGAATACTATCTCGCTGTAACGTTCGATATTCTGCCTCCTTCTATGTATGTCCAGCTTTCTGTTGCTCTTGTGATTCTGTGTAATTCTTTCTGTCTCGTCTTCAGCTCCATGTTCATCTTTGGAGGTTTTTCGGGCCTCCTTCTGAACGATGTGCTGGCCTACGCCCCTCCGTCCTGCCAGGCCTTTTCTAACCTGGCTTTGTGTGCTGCTGCTGGGCCGGGCCTTCGCTGCCAATGGGTCAAAAGTAGATGTGTCCCCTGGGAGCCAAAAGCACCCGAGCGCAGTTTCCCTGCTCCTTTTTGCCCCGCGAGACCTGGTAGGTAACACCGGGATCCTGTCTGCCCAGCTGATCTGTTACTTTCTGTCTTTCTCCCTAAATAGTTTCCCTGTCATGTCAACATACTTTTCCTTAAATGTACAGCACAATCCCACCTAAATGTTGCTCCCAAAAGACCAATTATTTCATTGGAGTAATAATTATTCCGAAGGATTTGGCTTCTGAAGTTTGTTTGCATACCATAATAATGGGAACAGAAGGTCAATGCTGCAACAATTACCCGATTTGGAAGTAATTAGGTTGAGTCCAAACCCTCCTCCTCCCACTCCTCTCCCTCATCTCTCTCTGCCAGATTTAGTTTGAGGATTTGGTTTAAACAAAAAGCAATCATGCTAATGGTTGTACTGTAAGATTTAAATAGAACAACATGGATTGACTGTTTTAAAGGAACATACCAGTGTTTTTTTCATGTTTAAGTCCATTTACTACAAATCATATACACTTTATATACATTTGATGTTGTAAACCATCACAGTCGACATCAAGTCTGCCTTTTTTTTTGTGGTCACATGATTAATATATGATGATAAAGTACAGACCTTTCAAATGAATCTACAGTTAACTGCCTTACCACACAAACATTACCAACACAATTTGCCTAGAAACAACTCTGCTGGTTGATTTTAATGCTTAATGGAAATCAATGGCTGTCTGGAACAGTAAAGAATTATAAAAATCTAAAATTGTCAGAAAATGGTGGATAAATGGCCAGCAATGTGAAATAGAGATTTCTAGTTCAGGAGCAAAACAAACAAACAAAAACAACACACATGGCCCTGCAGATGCATGATGGGAGTCTGCCTGATTAAACATGTCCCAGATCCGTGTTCTGCCGGAGCTCTGCTTTAATCTCACATGCATATTCATTATGACAACAACAGCACAGCATGTGTAAATGACCAGAGCGAAAGTAAACAGCATGATATGATAACACAACTGCCATGTGCATTTTCCTTTTCATCACGTCCACACATGATAATTATGTGCTGGTTTCATGAAAGCATTACATGCTTGCACGTGGCTCACCGCATGAGTCTTTAGTGCCACTTCCTGACATACACCTGAAAAAAAGAAGGTGCCAGATGGACATTCCAACCATCTCAGACTGATGCCCACTGACTCAGACTTCTTACTCCTTTGCGCAACACTTGTTCGATCGTTACAAAGCGTTTTTTTTACTCGATTATGATCAGTGGCCATTGATCAGCGCACTTTTAATTAGAGCAGAATTCCCAGCAGATTAATTAACATTTTTTAATACAACAAGAAGTAAGATCTAAACTCTGTTCAAAGGGGCCGTAGCTGTAGTTATGAAACATTTTACTTGTCAAAGAGAGTTTACCGTGTCAGCTGCAAACCGAAGAGCATTAAATGTGAACAAGCTGGAGGGATCACACATTTTATGCTTCTGCGATATGAAGTGTTGAATAATCACACAATGTCTGTTGCTGACAGATTAAATTTCACATGTAGTTTTGCCTGAAACCACTCATGCACCTGCTCACTCAATTTGCCTTTTCTTCTTATGATTCAGTCGTGAAACTCTGACAAAGTAAAGTATCACCACATTACGATACAACCACACAACCACACAGGCTGCGGCAAAAAAACTAACTCTATCTGCTATTTTTATCTATTTTACTATTATTTTTTTATTCAAAACATATAAACTTTCACATAAAAGAGACCACAGACTTTAAAGAAACCAAAATGCACCATTCAAAGAGTCATTCAGTGTCAGGACAAGTACGTTCAGTGCACCAATGATCCTTAGTCCTAGCTCACACCAAGATGAGGGTCCTTAACTTTAAAAGCACTTTCACTAATAACAGTGCAGGTTCTAGGGATGACTTATCTAATCCATCGGCATGATCGGAGGTTGCAGCTACAGTGGAGCGCATTGATCGGTGTAAAATGGTTTTATACATAAAGCATGTTGTTTATACGTGTGTGTTTATGGCTGCGTGTGTGCTGTGCCCTCCTCCAGACAGTACAGACGAGCGGTGTTTCCGGTTCTCAGACTGTGCCAGCTGTACCGCCAACACGCGGGGATGTCAGTGGTGCGAGGACAGGAAGTGCATGTCTGCATCCAGTAACTGCACTGTGGTGAGTCCTCGGTGGCTATCTGTAGAGCACAGCCTTTAGTGGCCCGTTGAGGCTGCAGTGTTTATTAGACCTCACAATACCGGAGTGTTTGATGGAACAAATAATATCCTGATGATTCTGGTCATCTAGCATCAAGCCAGTAGAAGGATAAAGTGAAACGTTTGTCCCAAGGGTGATGCCAGAAGAAGAGGGTCATAAGGTCAAGACGATTAATAGTTTATGATATTTTATCCTCTCATGAATGTTAATAATTCAAACAATAATGTACACATTTTAGGTTGTGTATTACTTTATTTAAATAACTTTGGATCAATGAGTTTTTTGTACTTTTTCTGTAGCTCATTTTGTTTTCTCTCTGTCTCTTTCTCTATTTTTACTCCCAACCTGCCTTCTCTGTCTTTCTTCGTATGTGTGTCTGCATGCTGCTTTTTGTGTGTGTGTGTGTGTGTGTGTGTGTGTGTGTGTGTGTGTGTGTGTGTGTGTAGCTGACTCTGGAGCTGGCACAGCAGCATGGCGGTGCTCTGTCTCTGTCTCGCCCACCGACCATGTTGTCTGAACATCAGCTGAGCTTGTGGAAGCACGGAGCCAGAAGGAGGGGACATGTGTGTATTATTTGACACTTGACACTTGCTGTTAGGCTGCAGGTCGGGTTGCATCAGGTTGCGATCATGGGGTCAGAGCAGTCCCTTAGGTTAAATGGAAATCGGGGTGAATCTAAATCACAAATTTAGATTTAATTTGTATCCTTTGTCTAACAACCTTTCCTTGACAGGGATTAGAAATGATGTTGGAGAAAGAGCACTTGGGGTTCAGTCTAATGTAATGAAAGAGAACAAAACAAAGTGTATCATGTATCATGTACATACACTGAAACAGTGGAGGTTAACATTGTATTTACAGTCAGCTTAGTTTCTTTTTTCTAAGACAAAGGTCACAGAGATTTAACATCCTTTTTCATACTTTTGTAAAAGACAAGTCTCTTTTTCTCAGGCTAAAACAGAGCAGAGTAGTTTCTGACATCTGCTCCAAGGAGAAGAACAAGAAAGTTTCTTACTTGAATAAAGTTTTCTGTTGAGAAGAACCAGCATGGAAATCCCGTTTCCTAAAATTGAACATTTGCTGCAGGGTAATTGAGACGCGCACAGCTTCAATGCAAAGTCCATCTCAGTATATTGTGTCCCTCATATCGATTTCTCTTCTCACTCTGCATTTTGGCTCTTTGATTCCCTCAACCATCAAACTTTCTTCATCTCCCGCATTCATTGCACACTGTGTTGATTCCTTCATGCTCATTGCATTTACTGTAAAAAGAGGACACCGATTTTGAGGTTTCAACTGGACCGATATTGTTTCCTCTGCGTGTGTTTGAAGTCGGTGAGGGACTCGTCCGGCTGTAAGCGCAGGGAGGAGCAGGAGTGTTTCAGACTGGCTAACTGCAGGAGCTGCTCCCTCAACGTCAACTGTCAGTGGGAGCTGCAGCAGCAGGAGTGTCAAGCACTTCCTGGTGAGGAGACACACTCGTGCACACACACACACACGCACAGAGAGAGAGAGTGAACATGCTCACAGCGTGCCACATAACACCATCATGAATGCACACGCAGCAGTTGCATGAAACATTACATCTATTTTTTTCAGAATATTTCTTAAGGACATTCATGAAGCTCCTTTTATTCCAAGTCAATCTTAAGAGAAATATGTTTCTTGCTACTCACAGATCTGCAGTTTATCAAATGCATAAACAGTTTGATAGACACAGTGTCAATCTTTCTTGGTTACATATGTGCTATTTGATGAATACTGTTGATTGGCGTCATTAAGGGTCTGGCAGTGTAACCTTTACAGTCTCTCTGATGATCATCATCACTGTAGTGAAGAGGCTGTTGAAGGATTGCTTTGTTCTGCTAAATCATAAAACTAGAAACTAGAGACTGAGACGATAAACACATGTTTACAATATTTACTGAGGTAATAAATCAAGAGAGTAGAGTAATTTCCTCATAGACTTCTATACAATCTGACGTAGTAGAGGAGTCGCCCCCTGCTGGCCATTGGAAAGAAGTTTAAGGTTCTTCAGCATCGGTTTCACTTTTCAGAGCCAGATTGCCGCTTGTCTTAAACACGGGGTACAACAGACACACACAGCTTCAGAGCGTTTGCATGTTCCCACGGCTGCATATTATTGGTGGTCTTCACAAATCAACACTCTGCTACATCCATGCGGGCATGTTCACAGAGAGGATTAGCATAACTTCAGAAACATGCTCCCCATTCAGATGCAAAGGAAAGTAGGCCAATTACACGTGTTTACTGGATGTTCTGAATATGGATCCTTGGCTGCAACAAACTCAAGTCCACAAAGTCCTCCACGCTTCGCTCCACACCGCTGTGGAGCCTTCAGCGAGAGCTGCTCTCACTTTGACTTTGGCGCTCGCATGACCAAGGGCAAAGGAAATACTCTTGCTATTTCAATCCACAAATGATCCTGTTCCGTGCGGTGTCTTATTGTGCTCGGGGCCCGCTAGCTATCTTGCTCTGCTGTGAGTTGGACGTTCGCAGTAGCTCTGAGCAGAGGTTGGTATTGCATTTGCTCCCTGTCTTCTGTCCACATCAAGGCCCCGTAGCCTGGTACACATAAATTTGGAGTACTGGATGATAATCCCAAACATAATGGTTTTGGTATTTTGCAGGTCAAAAGGCGTTTGAATCTGGGCTAAATGTTTTGGAATGTTTATTAGGTAGATTACATATAATCATTAATTCAACATCCTTTAACTGGCTATGCTTCAACATTAACATTAACAACATTAATGTCTGCATCTCTTTACAGACCTTATATTAGTTAGTTATCCACATATTAGGGACATCAGTTTGTATCGAAACAAATGGTGAAACAGCTTTACGTTTGACATCTATTATATTGCTGTTTAGTGGCGATATAATGTGGTATAATCTGCTCAGTTTGGTCATTTATTTTCTGACTTTCCCATTATAGCCCCCCCTCTGGCAGAAAACAAAGTAGTTTCTTTTCTGTTGGTTTAAAACGGAGTAGCTCCTTGCTTGGCAGTCTCTTATCCTTGCAATGCATCTTGTTTATTGTTGAATATTAGAAGCCAGAACAGCTATAATCTTTTCCCTCCACTTTGTTTACAGCTTGTTGGCGTGGCGGAGTCGACAACTTTGTGCTGCAGCCACTGAGCTCCATTGTGTCTTTAGACTTTTTGTGTTTTGTCAACTGGGGCCTTGTCTCTCGTCTAGTCTTCGTATGTGTGGACAGGAAGTAACGGTGCAATTTTTGGACACGGCTTTTCAAAGGGTCATTGGCCACATAAATGAAATTGCTACGTCTTTGTGTGTGTGTTTGAGTCCATTAGTGTGACAAGGCTAGAAACAAAGCTTCTGTATTTCTCATGATTTTGAAAGCTGGGATAATGGAAACTAGCTCTACCACCATGGCAGCTGTGGCCTTTTCTTTAGACACTGTGTTATGATTAATTATGCTAAACGGCCTGACATGTTTATCTCTGCTTTTACACAAAGACCGTAACCTAATCTATTTATGTGTGTACTCCTCCTCGTACCCCGTCATCTGTCCCTGTTCTCCTCTCGTCTTTGGTAGATTGTTGCCCATTGCTCTTGCTTTCGGTGGGAAATGAATAAATAAAGAAAGCAGGTATTTTCTTTTCTGTAGCATGAAAAGGTTGGTGATGGAAGCCATTATGGGCCTGTGATTGTAATCAGTCCTGGAGTCCAAAATAAACAGCCGTGCTCAGTGGAGGCAGAATGACTTTTTCTTCCCTTTCATCCCGGCTAATTGCTAATAAGCTGTTCAATTTTCTGTTGATTTTGGCAGCACAGTTTCTTTTCCAGGCCTTCACATCAACTTTAAATTCCAGTTCTATTCCCCTCTTGTCCACTAGTTGCCCTGAGTGAGTTTTTCCTCCTTTGTCGGTCACCTGACTGTCCACCTACCTGCACACCCGCCCTCACCTCATTAGTCTCAGTATACCAGCCCTCAACCAGATCTTCCTCTGCTTGTTTTTGACGATAAACTGCCTCTCCACGTTTGGCTTTTTTGGATTTGGTTGCCGTTTCTGCCTGCGTACCCTAATGAATACTGTGGAGGCTTGAAATCTACCTCACAGAGAGAAGGCCGCGGATTCAGGCTCCAGCTGTTCAACAGTAGAGTCGTTTCTTAATAAATCTACCATAAATTGGTTTACAATTTAAAAAAAACATTTAATCCTACTGGAGCTAATACAATTACAGAATGAAGTACACTACTAACAGAATATATAATATATGATCCGCGCGGAAAAGCTAGTCACTCGCGACTCAGCCTGAAAACACAGATGTTTCCATGCTGAGGGCCGAGCAAGAAGAGCGCGAATAGCCCTCCCAGCACTTCCTCATACAGTTTGAAATCCCCCCCTTTTGTCCATCTTAATTCCTATTGGCTAATTTCAGCTGGCTCCTCTCTCAGCCAGCTAGGACCCCCTGGCTCGGGTGATGCTCCGTCTGCGTCCGCTGAAATTTCTGTAAATCTGACTCTCCCTTGGCTATTCTTCACAGTTTAATACATTCAATGACTGTCTTTTATGGTTTAACACTTCTATGATAAACATTGGATTCTATATAAAGATAAGGATTTGCAACTTTTGGCAAAAACTTCACAAGTTTCACAAGCATAGATATAAAGGTGCTACAAATTCTACTAAGATACACTTCTAACTACAAATTCTAAAACACTTCTACAATTATGAATCTTCTAATTATGTATTCCAAAACACTTCTAATTATGAATTATTAAACACTTCCATTATAATTTCTTAAAACACACTTCTAAACCCAAATTTCCTACAATACACGATTAATGAAGCCTGGTTTACCTACACCAAGTAAACCTGGTTTAAACCTTCCTCCTGACTGCTTTGTCTGCTTCTGACTGCTATTGTCTGAGTTACAGTCAAGTGTGATCATTTATATCGAGATGCTTCAGTGACATTACTTAATTTGAAAGACAATGAATGTATGGTACTGCTAACCATAATAATACTAACGTGCTAGAAACATTATCAGCTATATGTTGGTGAGCTAATCATTAGCTAACTATGGACCTGTTAGTAACTTGGTATGGTAGTATTATTGCATGAAAACATTAGCTGTTAACATGCTAAATAGTACAAGCTAAAGCTAAATACATTAGAAAGCTAACTGTAGGCATCTTAATCTAATAAAAATGCAAAACATAAGTAAAAAATGTGCATGTTGGCATACTCAAAATTACAAGCTTAAGCTAAACATGAGCATGATTAAATTGCTAATCTTTAGCTTGTCATGTAGCCTAATACAACTATATGCATGTCAAGATGCTAACATTAGTATTGTAGCATTCCAATGTAACATCCGGAGAAGTTGTCTCTTTGTACATTGGACAACTCGGTTTTCCGATGTTGAATGGACATTGATGGAAAACACATACAAGCAGGCTATAGACTCTCACTGTAAGCTATCTGATGAGTATTAATGTAAAGACATCTGTACTGAAGGTGTGTGTGTGTGTGTGTGTGTGTGTGTGTGCGTGCAGGCCAGCTGTGTGGGGAGGGCTGGCACCATGTCGGGGAGGCCTGCCTGAGGATCAACTCCAGCAGTGACAGCTATGACAATGCCCAGCACTACTGCAAAAACCTGGGGGGAAATATTGCCTCTTTGCTCACAGACAAACAAGTCAATTTTGTTCTGGAGGAGCTACAACAACACCAACTGCAAGACAAGGTGGGTGGTGTGTGAAAAAAAAATAAGTTAATACGCCTATAAAGGAAATGCATGCTAACAGTGTTGGTGAAAGCTACTGTATAGCCTGTTATTCTCCCGCTCTGGCTTCTTTACACACCATTGTGCTGCAGGTCACATTTTGGATCATCTAATTGAATGTAAGCATAACAAAACTAGAATGACAGCATATTACAGGTGTGTCTCTTCTGTTCCTGAATGAGCAAAGTTGCTCTTTTCAAATCAGTGCACATTTTTTTTAACTGACAACTTGAGTTTGTAAACATTATAAAACCCTCCTACTCAGTTATTTTCGCCAATACTAACACCACGCATGGTTAAGATCATTTTGATAAAATACTCTGATGCCCATACCTGAAAGTTATGGATTGCCATAACCTTCTTCCTCTTCATACCGGCAGTCTATTGATCCCCTTTTTAGTTTGAAATTCCCTCTTTGTGTTTCTGCTCTCCTCTGCAGAGCTGAGTGTTTCCCCGCACAGCGGTCTGTGGAAACATAAAGAGGGAATTCAGACTCAAAATACTAACGTCAGAGGGTAGCCGCTTCATTTGTCAAACTCCTTTGACTCGCATTAGTAAGGGATTGCCTCAGGGTCGGTATGGAGTGGAGTGGTAATAAAAAGAAAAAAAGAAAAGTGCAGAAAAAGTGTTGAAAAATACTTGTATCTTATCGGGACTGGTTTATAGTTCAAGTTAGGAAGGAAATAAATGTCAATTATTTACAGTACTGCACCATATAGTCAAATAGCTGCATCTGCATGTGACTTCAGCTTTCAGCTATAACTCCTGTAGAGAATGAAGTACTGTAATGTGTTGCTGATTGACAACTAGGCAGATATTCATCTGCGGATATCACGTAATGTACATAAAACAATGTCACCTTAACATCAGACGTGTAAAGCTATTTATTAGTAGATGCAAAAGAATGTGTGGTCTCAAGATAATACAAGTTGTGTATCAACAGTCTAATTAAGGAAATAACCAAGCAGAGTTTTTTCTGAAGGGATCAAATTTTGGATGCAAGTTGAAATTTCTCACCAGGACATTTCTGATGTGGCTTCAAGGCATTAAAAACAAACTTCACTGAAGCATTCTTCGCCCACCGTGAAGCACACAAATCAGCTTCGTCATCACTTTTCATCATAAGAAACCCAGATGTCTACAAACGAAACAAGAAGAGTGACAGCATGTGAATGTTTGTGAATGAGCCGGTCACCAGATCAAACACCTGTTAAAACAGATTTAACCGTCCACTCAGGCTTTTTTGATTAATGTGCAGCGTCAGGAGATAAGTGAGCAAATATTTGATCGCTGTCAGAGGAAGAAAGAGAAGCACACTTTCTCAGATAAACAGTTGTGTTTAATCTACCTTTTGATGCTTTTAGGTCATGAGGATTCTAAATCTCTTGTTTTGTCACTCCACTTTTTTTGCGATCACAAATTGAATTTGCTATCTCTGCAAATTCAATTACCAGATACAATCCAGACTGCAAAGGATCGCAAACAGAGCTGCTGAGTAGAAGAGCTTTTGGGTGAATGTGTGGGCATAAATACAAACACAGCGTAGTGTTTAGCGTTTTTTTTTATGAAATGAATCACAGCTGTGGGAAAATACTTTGGATTTCTATCAGATGAAACTCTTTTCATAATCATAATGCGCCTTTTACTAAACAAATCTCACTTGTTTTCTCAGCAAATAATTCAGATGTTCACTGAGCTCCACTTCACTCAGCTGCTATAATTACAGCCCCTTTTGAACATGTTTTCCCCAATTAGTATCTGAACAGTTTCTGCTTTTACAACAATTACAGTCATTTGCAGAAGGTTTGATTTTGGGATCCGCTTTAATGTGAAACAACATGTTTGTTGTTCAGAGTTGCCAGCCGTGTGACTTCTCCTCTTGGCAAAGGGAGACTTTCTAGTTGGTTGCTTCACTATGTGGACTCAGCTCAGCCTTTTATTTTCTTATTATTATGAAGTTTTTTTATTTTTTGCTCACATATTCAAACATATCAACAATTCTAAGACACTGTCCCTGTGTACATGTGAACTGCATACAATTAGGGTTCGTTATTTTCCTTTTTTGTTTCTTTAACAACAAAACTAAGAACACGAGAAGCGACTAGTATCTGAGGTTATCTGAGGTTAGTCGGATTCCTTTTGTTCGTTGCTGTTTTTAATGTTCTTTCAGCGACTCTTGTTGATCTGCAGCTCAAATCGTTGCATTTTCTCCCCATTCTTCCATTCTTCGTTACTGTGTTTGGCCTAGAAATTGATTGCTTTCTGTATTTCTGTGATTTTTATTTTTTTTCTCAGATTGACCTCAGTTCCAAAATGCTAATGCTTGAAAATTTGCCACAACTCCTCAGCTCTACTGATATTAGTGTGCACAATACTTCCAGATGTTTTCCTCAGGAACTGGGAGTCTCAAAAGCATTGTGGCAAAAGTTGATTCTATAGATACTGTGACTGTAAACACCAGTATAGCAACACTGAACAAAAATACATTTATCGTTTTAGCTATACATTTTTCTCTTTCTCTCACCACTGTGTCTCTGCAGACTTTGTCTCCCTGGGTTGGCTTGAGGAAGATCAACGTGTCTTACTGGGGCTGGGAGGACGCGTCTCCCTTCACCAACACCAGCCTGCGTTGGTTACCTGGAGAGCCCAGCGACTCGGGCTTCTGTGCCTACCTGGAGCGGGCGCAGGTGGCTGGTCTTAAAGCCAACCCCTGCACGGCCACCACCGACGGCCTGATCTGTGAAAAACCTGCCGGTGAGATGGAATGAGTGAAGAGGAGAGAGCGGGGGGGGGGGGGGGGGGATCACAGGATAAAACTCAGACTGGAGGCTACAGTTTATTTTCTGTTCAGACAAATTAACAGGTGATAAAACAAAACTCCTGGGCAAAGGCAAAAAGTATACGAATGAAAGAGAAGGTAAACCGTTAAGAAGACTCAGGCTCACATTTCTCAACCACACTGACATTTTCTGTGCTGCTAGAATGAGTTCACTGAAAAGTGAGAAAGAGGAAACAAGTAGGAGCTGTGTTCAATGCATCCTTTGCTGTTTGATGAACTTAATCTCACATCGAACTTCTTTGTCCCCGTCGCTCAGGGAGTCCGCAGAGTCAAAGTGTTCGTCCCTGTCGGACACCTTGCTCCCTGCGCGCCAGCTGCGCCAACTGCACCAGCCAGGCCATGGAGTGCATGTGGTGCAGCAGTACGCAGCGCTGTGTCGACTCCTCGGCGTACGTCATCTCCTTCCCCTACGGACAGTGTCTGGAGTGGCAGACCCAGGACTGCGCAGGTGAGACGGGGGGGAAGTGAACACGGGTGCGGGGTGTCAGTCACGGTGACTTTCCGTAGTACCTTCAAAACATTAATTTACTGTAATATGATGTACTGTTGCAGTTTAAACTATACATCTATGCAAAGTAGTCACAACCTCTCTGGACCGGCTACAGGGACCCACAGACATTAAATACTCTGAACTTCACAGTAACTTCTTTTCTGTCATGCTATTTTAACTTTTACTGAACTTTTTTTTGGATCTCTACACTCTAATATGTAGAAATCTACATATTAGTAGATATTCTAGCAAGGCTTTTGGTTTTACTGTTGGTATTATTTCGGGTTTATTAGCCACATGGGGTGTGGGAGACCTTCGTGGCGGGTGTTCGACTTGCATCTCCCACCGTGGGGCATGCTGAGGTGTCTCTAACTCCATCCTACTGTGCTCTGCAGAGTTAGGGAGGAGGAGGTCTATTGTGAAAGGTGTGGCTGCCATTGTTTGGCGAGTGGCTGTGTCGACACAGTAGAGTCATTTAGGCTTTTAAATGCCTTCTGGATACTTTCTTCATGTCCATTTCTTGTATACAGTTTATCGTTGCACTCAGTCTTTTTTTTAATAACTGTCCATTTTGATCTTCTCCTTTTGGATCAGTAAATGTCAACTCAGAACACTTTCTTCCGTAAAAACTAAAGTACATTTAACGGCCCGAAACAGTCTCTAATTCCCTTAAAGTGTGTGTTTTTCTTCAGGTGGCTTGTGTAAGGAACAGATGAAGCAGAATGCATTCTGGGCCTTCGCCGATAAATACGATTGTAACTTTTCCCATTGAAGCCAAAAGCCAGATGTTAGTGGGTGTTAGTGGGATTGTTGTCCAGTGGGAAAGAGGCTACACAGTTGAGGTCATAACATGTGTGTCTATGAGCTTAGATGGATAGATATAGATGAATGAGGTGGTGTATAGGGCTCCACTCACACCTCTGATGATGCGACGCTGTGTGAACATGGAGTCATTATAGACTCCTTTCCTATTGATCCCTTTCTTATCAGCAGTCAGGTCTCCACCTCGCACACACACTGACACAAACACAGACTCCAACACTGAGGCGGCGCCACCTCTCCTGTAGCTGCAGGGCAGAAAATCGATCATCTACAGCGACGCATGACGAGCTCAATATGAAGTCCCGGCTGCATTTCTCTCGTATCAACACCTCCCTGGGGATGCTGGAGGTTCTTCAGTTCCACCGCTGCCCCTCCACACGGTTTTTGTTTGAGTACATACAGTAGATGTGCAGGATTGTTTGTGTATGTGTGAAACAAGAAGATCATCAACCATGAAAACAGACAGAAAGTGGCAAATCTAGCAGGCCCTGCTGCATGTGGAGCTTATGATGATTTTACATAGTGGCATGAGTCGACATGGAGAGATTTCCTGCTTCACTGCTGAGTAGTTTCCTGTCTGAATAACGTTTCTGTGGTGGCTGCAGTCATCTATCTTATAAAAGATGCTTCTGCGTTCACATGTTTGGGTTGACAAAGTCTCTATCAGGATAGGAACATGGAGAATATTGCTTAAAAAGCAATTTACTTTATGTTTATGTTTATGAATTAAAGCTGATTACCTCAGATGGCAGAAAAGAACCTCACTGTTTGTTGATTGTCAGCGGGATCAGGAGTACTGGCTCATTGTAGGAAGTCATTTCATTCGGAAAACCCTCGAGTGAAAAAGAGATAAACGCTTTGGATATTTATTGTTGGTGCTACACATTTCAATGTATTCTGTAATTTCAGTTTTTCTGCAATAACCAGTTCAGCTTGATATGAGTTAATAAATATTCCTTAACTGTTATTAAGTCATTTATGTGTAACATGGTCTTCAGTAGTAGAAACAAATCATAAGTACGATATATAATAATCTAGTGATTTAAAATGTTTTGATATCATTCACTTAAATGGGAAAGAGCCACACACCTGAAACCTTATCCTTTGTTTGTCTGTAAGAACAATGAGAATAGGCAAACTGCAGAAGTACATTTTACATTATTTTGTACAACAATTTCCCTTTTTCCCAAATCAATGAAGCGTTTAACGAGCAAATAAGACAAATACAAACAAATAATAACCGACCGAGACAGAAGACTTGACTAACATTAAGTAAGTGTTTTAATTATGTTCTTTGATGTTTCATTCGGAAAAGTCGAGGTCAAATAAAGACATATTTTTTCTAGTTTCTAGTGGAAGAAAATATATTAAAAAAAATCAAACCGTCAAAGTATTCCCCTGTGGCAAAACTTTTGTCTTGGTGTTTTCTGTCTTTTGTTCGACAAATAGTCGATTTGTAGCCAGTGTTCTTGTTTCTGAGGAGTTAAGAAAACGGCTTCACAAAGTTCGAGATGTTCTTATCTGGTGACTGGTGATTATTGTTCCTTGCTGGTGCCAGACAGCTCTTCAGCCTACTGTTAGCAAGCCACCATTCTTTTCCCTTCTTTTGGTTTTTAGATTCAGCTCTTACATAATGGCGTCCTTTTTTTTTTTTTTTTTTTTTTCCCCCCCGACATCTCCTTTTCTCTTTTATTATTCATATCTCAGTTTGGTGGCAGAAGGTGTGTAGGAGGCCTTTGTTCTGCCACTGTTCACCTCTGTTGCTCAAACAATGGCATATAAAATATGACATATTTTACATTTCAAATTCCCAAGTATAGCATTGTTGCTCTTCTGCAGTCCATCACGATTCGCTTTGTGTTTCATACTTAGGTTTCTGCTTCACTAATGGATTAATCGTGTCTTGTTTGTGAGACCATGTCTGCAGGCCACAGCTGAAGGATTCATGACCTCGGCTTTGGGAGCTACTTCACAAAAGAAACCCAACTATTGCTTGTCTGAGAATCCAATTTGAACTGGGTCATTCCTTTATCAGATAAATGTGGCCCAAGGCTTTGTATATCATTCCCATTTTTCATGTCGGCTGGAGGCTCACTACACTCTCTCTTCAGCACTCTTGAAATAATTAGCTCCTGTGTTGCCCCAGCAGTCAGATTTTTAACTTTTTAGAGCCCCTTCGAAAGCAAGCTGGTTTTTCAATCCCAGCCTAATTGTGCTGTACCGTGAGTTCTCTTTATAGAATGGACTTTAAAAACAAAACATAAACATATTAGAAACACCTCTCAATGTTCTAGTCAGTCAATAACACCACCTATAACCGCAGCATCAAAATATATTATAAAGATAATTCAACACCTCTCTGCCCTGTTTTAAAACAATAAAACTAAAAGATGGGGTTACGCACAAGTCTCTTGGATTACAGCTTCCAGGAGCTTTTTATTCCTTCAGTCACTCAATGTGTGTATTTTCTAGATAGGTGAATACAGCCCCCCCCCCCCCACACCCCCCCCCCCCCCCCCCCCCCTCCCTCCCCAGGCCAGATGATGGTTATGTTGTTGTAGCCGATATTGGTTTTGCTGCGCAGAGAAATAGGTTTATTTTCTCTGAGGCAATCCTCACAAAACACCAGAGTGTGTGTGTGTGTGTGTTTGCTTTTTTCCGACACACGCCGCCTGTCTGCCGGTTCGTGGCTTCACATGGTACGAGAGGAGCGAAGGAGAAGGCAGCTTATGGCATCTATACTTGATGTATTATGTATGGGGGTGAGGGGCGCTCACACACATCTGTACGCCGCCGGCTTCAGCGATGCTAACCGTCAAGTACTGTAGGAGAAAATGGATTACACAAGATGAAGCCAGACGATGCGTGCCATCCAGGGACGAGGAACATCAAACCCCGGTGTGATGAACAGAATGTGCCACCGAGATGATTGTGCTGAGAGAATTTTTGATAAGATGAATATACCCCCAGCGGGAACGAGCAATCCTTCTTTGCTTCAACAAGATAACCTAAGTTCCCTCAGAACACATGACATGCGTTGTGTTTAGGCATCCTGCCGGTTATTTCTGTCAACGAGGACAGGACCTATGTGTTGGGAAGGAACACAGTGCGGAGTAGGAATGTGGACTTTATTTCTGTTCCTATCACATAAAGCACGTGGTGGATGTTTGCTATATAGCAGCCAACGTGTTCCTTGTTGACAGAACTTTAAAGGCATTAGGGCTCCCGGTCTCCAAGTGACGACGGCAACTTGTGAAAGTTTTGAGCGAGTGATGTTTCGAGGTGCCGGCTGAGATGCAAAACACGTGTCTATCTGGATTTGACCTAGTTACTACATTTCTCTTCCTGCTCTTAGACCCTACAGATACGGCTTTTCCTGGCTGAGACCAAAAAATATTGTGAAAATGTAGGTATTCTGTACGTCGGCTCAATAAAGTATGAAAGCCTCGTTCTTGTAAACTCAACTAGCTCTTACTAACTTGCTTTAAATGTATCCGTTTTAGGTTTTCACTGTTCGTCTTATGGCGAGACACCACAGGTACATAACGTAAAGGAAAAATAGCTAATTGACTAAATAAGGAATAGATATGGCCGTGAAACTTCCCTTGCTGATTACTTACAATACGAAGGTATACAAACTGTTGTTTGAGGACACATTGCTGTATTTGCTACTGAAGTGGAGGTTTCTGAGTATGAGAAAAAAAAACAACCTTTTAAGCAAAATTTACCAGAGCATGAAAAAAAAAGTTTTTGTCTTGTTATGTTCAGGACATCAGTCCTAAAATCCCTCACAAATGAAGCAGAGTTCTCCTTTGCAACGTGCTAAATTCACCAGCCTTACCTCATAAGTCAATTCCAGTAATTGCTTTAGATGTAAATGACTCTTTTGCCTCTATACGCTCAGCCTGGGTCTCCAGTACAGGAGAATGTTCGCTTTGCTGCTGAGCTCTGCATTCAAACACGGAGGAAGGAGAAATTAATCACCCAAGAAATTAGAGGAACATTAAAGCAGATTAAATTGCATAAATCAGTGTCTCTATTTTCATCCACAAAGTAGCCGTTGGTCACAGTTTTGTCTTTGGACACATGTTTGCATTTTACATCATGAAATATGTTTCCCACCCTCATGGGGAAATACAGGCACCATCCAACAAGACTATACAAGGCAAGAACCGCTCTTAATTCTTTCCATATGGAACACAGATTTGGCCAGATGGTTGGAAATGCTATTAAAAATCAGCTCATGCAATAGAGCACATAGCAGGTAAATTACATTATCGACACAGAAACCACAGTTTAGTAAGTGAGCGTGTAAGGACTTCATGTTTTCTATCAATGCAGGAGTTGTCTCTCACATCTGTAAGCGGCTTCCACTCGTGCCATGTGGTGTCCTCATGGCCCCTTTCATCATATTCGTGGCATGCAGGCAGATGCCTGAAATATTTGATGCATTCGCTGTCACGGATTTTGACATGTTTCACAAATGAATTGCAGTCAAGAGCTGCAAATGCACCTTGCAATGTGGCAAGTATGTGTGTAGAGATGAACTGTTTAAACTGTTTTTTCGTGCCCTGATAGGCTTTAAGATTTCGGTCTGTTCTGCTTCTTCTCTCAGGCTCGAGGAAAGAAATCATTCAAAATACACATTTAGGCGTAAATTTTACTACTTTGTCTGTTCGCGTCAGTAGATTTCTCCTAAACTCACCAACATTTCTGAAAACTCGTAATATAAGACGTGAGTAATCAACTGCGGAAGTTTCACTGTGATGTCTATTAATTATTGTTTTACCCTTTTCACCTGTAGTGTCTTCAGAATGTAGTGACTTTTACAAAACATGTCTTTTTCTCAGACTGAGACAGAAATCTCCACTTCAGCAGCAATTACATCCACCAAGCTTTCCACTTTCATTCCTATTTATATTCTGAAGGTTTTACAGAGTTTTAGTTTGTATATCGTTAACAGCCTGAGATATAAATTATAAAATATGTGAAAAAAATGTATTGGTTGACAGTATTCTTTAATGGAGTGATACAAAGCAGGGGGGAGACATTGCTGCCACGTAGTGGGTGCAAATTGGATAAATTATATCAAAGATAGATGAAGACTTTTGTGAAAATACAAAGGTTTGGCACATTTGGCTTACAAAGAGCGGCTACCAATTCCCTGCAATTTGAGTCATATTTGAGGAATTGATGAACAGGCCTGATATATTTATTGGGTATTAAAGTCGTGGGTGTATAAATATGTACTTTTCTAGCAGGCGAAACCCCACTGTGTGGTGGATTTGGGGTATTCTGTTGAACTGCCTCTCTTTGAAGTGTTGACTGTAGTGGAGCTCCAGTGTGTTGTCGGAGGGGAAGTGAAATGAGGGAGGAAGAGAGGGGAGGTGAGAGTAAAAACCGGAGGGAGGAACGCGGTAGAGGAGACACGATAGAAGAGCGGATGAAGAGTTTCTTTTCTTTGGGATTTCATTTATGCCTAAAGTGTATTGGTGTCATCCAGAAAAAAAAAAGAATCTAATTAAATAAAAATGGCAGGAAATGAGGGAGAAGAGGGTACAGTGGCAGCTCCTAAAGAGCGCGAGAGGGGAAGACGGCTTAGTGAATAGAGACCGCCAGAAAGATGCAAAAGAGGAGGATGAAAAGGTGGCAGAGCGGAGATAAAGAGTGAATCCGAGAGAAGAAGTTTGTAATTATAAAGGGGCCGAGAGAACAAATGAATCGGCATTGCTGCAGTTGAATAATGCAACGGGGGGGGGGGGGGGGGTATTTCAAGCAGAGCTAGCTAGCAGGGACACAGAGAGAGAAAGAGATCCATGTTCAGCTAGAACATCTGTGGCTTATGGAAATGGCTCGTGTTCAAAAGAGAAACAACTTTCTGGAGAAAATGCTAATTTTACTTGACGCTGCGTTTGAATCACCTTCGCCGGGGCCTAACAGAAAACAGCGCCTCGGATAACTCCTCTCAACCTTTTGGGTTTGTTGTGTACACGCCGAGATACCCACTGAGTTTATGTTCCTGCCTTTCTCTCGTGTGTATTCCCACCCTCGCTTTGTAGACTAAAATGTACTATGACAGGAAGACATGTTGATGTCGAGAACGGCAGCAAAACAAGAGTGACGGACTCAAAAGGAGCTGTAGAGTTGACCTGGGAAAGGCCGGCTTTTCCACAAACAACAAAGAAAAATGTCTTATTCTTCTCACATATCGCCACGTTCAGGGAACATAAAGGGCTTCAGTATGGAGATGTTGTTTTCTATTACAACTATTGAATGCCATACCATAAAGAAAGTGTCATTTTTAATTTGCACCAGTGATGTGTTTTTGAATGTCACGTCCACTTTATGAATACAGATGCGTTTCTCAACATGCTGAATGGTGTGGGAAAGAAAAGTCAATTCCTCTCTGAATGTTGAGGGTCAAAGAAAAAGGTGAGAACAGAAGACGCTAAGTACATTAGAGGCCGATCACTGGAGGTGTTTATTGTGTTCATGCTCGGAGCTTGAAGCTGTTAGGATTAGCTTTAGTACAGTGTGAAGGACAGACTGTGGTCAGAACACGTCTTAAAGGCGCTTTACCTTCATTGTGTGTTGAGGACAACACTGCTGAAAGGCAGATATAGCTTCTGTTTAAATGCGTATGCACTAATACAGCAGCACTGAAATACATCTGAGCGACGCATTCAAGGTCTTTGTTTCTCTTTCAGTTCAATTAACCTGTTGATATTTGTCAGAGAAGTTCTGTGCAAGAAGTACAGACACAATGAGATGAAAACTGTCACCTTCTGATTCATGGTGAATCTGCAAAAACATTGTTTTATATACACCGGTCCATTTTGGACTGTTTTGCTTCCGTAAGATGTCGTGTTTCAGATTAGTGCAATAAAACCATCCAAAATATACATTAAGGTGTTTATTGCTTCTGTGTATTTCTCCTAAACTCACCAACAGTTAGCATTATATAATTCCCTTATTTGCATATTTACACAAACAATTTCAGAAGAAATTGTAAATGACTGTAATGTAATGTAATACAACAGTGGATCCAAAATCCCCTCGAATTTCCACATCTCTAAATCTATGCAAAATCAGCACATATTTAATAAAACAATGCTTCATTAAAACAATCAATTAAGGAAGGATCATGGTGGTGTCTATTGGTTGAAAACAGCTCACTTGATTTCCTTTTCGGTCATTTGTAACACTTTTTGGAAGGCACTGACAACCAGAACCCTAACAGACTCTTCCTCACTTCTCTCCATTTCTCTTTTGATTCCTGATCGCCTCTCCCTTTCTCCCCCCGTCTCCCTCCCCACCTCTCCCTTTCTCCCCCCCTCTCCCTCCCCGCCTCGCATCCCCTCCACAGCCCAGAACTGTTCAGGCCTGAGGACATGCGTCGAGTGTTTGGAGAGGACGGAGTGCGGTTGGTGCGGCGATCCCAGTAACACCGGCAGGGGCGTTTGCATGGAGGGGTCCTACCGAGGCCCCATGAAGCCTGCCGGTGCCAGGGCCGGGCCCCCGGACAGACTACGAGACAGGGACATGGTGCTGGATCAGAGTCTCTGTTCGTCCGACAGAGGCTACAACTGGGCCTTCATCCAATGTCCCGGTGAGTGAACAGCTGGAGCACGTGCTCATCTACTGGTCACATTCTGTCACCCAGCTGAATAACAGTGAATAACATCGCTACTCTCTGTGGACCTTCGGCACCACTTTCATCAATACACTGAACATAATCTTCATGATGGGGGGGTTTGTAGCTCTAGGTTTTCCCTAATAACCTGAGTGTATCCTGTGTGTGTGTGTGTGTGTGTGTTTGTGTGTGTGTGTGATGTCCTCCCAGCGTGCCAGTGTAACGGTCACAGCAGGTGTGTGAACGGCAGCATGTGCGAGCACTGTGGGAACCTGACGGCGGGGGTGCACTGCCAGAGCTGCATGCCCGGGTACTATGGCGACCCCACCAACGGAGGGAAGTGCAACGGTGAGTGCAAAAGGTCACAGCGCCGTATTGTGTTTTCTCTTTTTTTGTTTTTTTGGAGCTACCAAATTGTCTTTGATTTAAGTCCTTGAAACGGGGGAGGGGGAAAACAAAAATCAGCTGTCTGGATGTTTTCTTTTTCTCCTCCGCTGCAACAATCTGCCGTCTCTGAAGATAGAATCCCTCAATTTCAAAATTGCTTGAAACAAGTTGATCGCTCTGAGACGGAAGTTTGCTGTGAGAAAGTTTTGTTTTGCAGAGCTCAATTATAGACAGAAGTAACAAAAGTAAAAGGTTTCTCCTGGTGTGTTTTGGATGGAACCCCCTATGAGAACTCTCTGTCTCCTTCACCTCTCGCTCTCAATTGCTTTCATAGAAATAAAGAGCCGTTTAAAATGTGTATATGTATATGTGTGTATATCTATCTATCTATCTATCTATCTATCTAGATATATTTATATCTAGATATACATACACACATTTTGAACGATGAACGATCTATATATATATCTATCTATCTATCTATCTATCTATCTATCTATCCATCCATCTAGATATATCTATCTAGATATATCTATATCTAGATACACACATTTTAAACGATGAACGATATATATATAAATAAAAAAAATATCCCCTGAAGGCAGCAGGGGACAACAACACTGTAATGGACACAAACGTCCTGACGGGGGCAGTGCTTAAAAGCTGTGCAGGCTTTGTTTTCCGTTGAGCTCATGGCGACCAGCGGAGCCAGGATCGAGGTCTGCAGAGAGAGAGAGAGAGAGAGAGAGAGAGACTTGGAAAGATGGTGCAGATGAAGGCTCTCGCGGAGGTGCACGCACGGTTCATGGGCATCCATATTTTTCTGCTTGGAATCCGCCTGTCAGCAGCTTTGTTTTGTTTCGCATTCAATTAATCACAGCAAGCAGGGTTTGTTAGCTTGTGTGTGTGTGTGTGTGTGTGTGTGAGAGTTAGATAATAGAAAGCAGAAGCCACAGGAAAATCCGGGGGGGCTGGGGTTTTTGGAAGGTGTATGATACAGTACGGGCCTGGATGGGAGATGTAATGAATGAATGAGTGAGTGACTGCTGGAGTGTGAGTGAGGAGGGTGAGGAGGGGGGGGGGGGGGGGGGGAGTGAGCGGGAGGTGCAGCAACATCAGTCTCGCTGTGACAGATGTGCTTTTTGGCTCGTGACATTAAATCGCTCTTAATCATTTTCTTATTTCCTGAGTTGACTGGTGTCTCCGTCCCTGGCGGCTCCTCACAGCGAGCGCAGCGCTGATAGATGCACGCCTCTCTCCGCCTCCGTACAGGACTCTGATGCACTTTTCTCTTCTACTTTGGCTTTCTTTGCCATGTTTTCCGTTTCGCTCCTCTGTCTCGCTGTCTTTTGACATTTTGCTTCGCTCTCTCTTTAACGCTCTCCGGTCATGTTTTTCCTGCCGTTTCTCTCCCCACATGGTCCATTCTCTACTCCTCTTTCATGCCTCCTTTCCTTTTATTGTTCAGGCCGTATTTGTTCAATTAATCTAGCCCTTTCCCCTCTTTCATCTTTTCTTTTCTCCCTTCTCATATCTCCTCTCCTTTTCCCACCTATTCTCTTCTTTCCTCCTTTTCTGTCCTTCTTCCCCCTTTCTTCTTCTCTCCTTATCTTCTTTCTTTTGCTTTCCGTCCCCTCTTCTCTTCTTCCTTCCCTTCTCGTTCTTCCTGGTTAAACTGGATTTGTAGAGAGGCTTGTGTCATTGGTTCTCACCTCCCTAGAGCTTCTTTTTTTGTCTCCACTGATTGCACTGACCAGACTCATCCGTCCACCTCCATCCGGCTTAAACCCATCTACCTTTACTTCCTTCCACCTTCATTTTCCCCTCTTTTACTTCCTCTACACTCCTGTCATTCCCTCTTCAGATCACAATAAGTCTCTGTCTTAAATAGTCCATCTGTCCATCAATCCATTCATCCGTTCTATCTCCATCTCTCTTTATAAAAGGGACCACTAGATTTACCTTGAGTTAAATGGCCGGGAGGCAATGACGTGTGGCCGATTAGAGGACTGAATGATAGAGCGACGGCTGTCGCAGCTACCAGGGAGGGGAGAAGGCCTCGGCTCATAGGGTTGTAAAGGGGATGGACGGGTCAGAGAGGCAGTGGGGGAGGGAAAGGGGGAGACGGAGTGAGAGAGAGGAGGCAACAGGGACAAAGGCACGCCGACAGAGAGAGAAAAACAGATGAAACCATGTGGTGAGATACACAAGGTTAATATCGGAGGAAAAGGACAGTTGCCCTTGGCTGGAGAGACGATGAAGGAATAGAGGAGGAGATGGAGGGATAAAAAGAGGAGGAGATGGAGGACGGACAAAGGAGAGGAGAGGGGAGTCTGTCCGTTCCCCCTGTCCCTCTGACAGATGATTAACTAACCTTGTCAAATCTGGATGAAGTGTGTGTGTGCAGGGCATTAGTGTCCCTTTTCTCTGAATGGACCGTTCACCTTGTGCTGCACACATACCAAATCAAACACACTTGAGCCAACCTTCAGCTGCAGCAGACAACATGTTGGATCTCGGTTTAGACTTTTACTCCCTCAGAGGAGAACATGCATACCGAGAGTCTTTCATATTCTGTTGATTTCGTCTCTAGTTTTTATCACAGCGGAGAGACGGACAAACACTGTTTTCCCATCATATGCATCAGTGGAAGGGTTGCGCTGTTAAACATCCGCACATGGAAGTAGTGCAACCAAACTTGTGTCACTGAATGGTTGTGTGGGGTTTGTGGTTTGCTTAATGGCACGTAAACAGTAGTGAGGATAAGGAGAGAGTTAAAGTGGATTCGTGCATCTCTGTCAGGGTGTTACAGAAGCTCTGCCTCCTCAGAGATGTGACGTCAAGTCACGGTGCACACGTTCTCAGTCCAACATGCTGACAAATCCACTTAGTAAGGTTTGGAAGAAACATCATGTTCTGGGCTTTAAAACTGAGTTAAATGTGAACAATGTCAAGATCACTTAAGATAACTCAACAACACTTTGGGACACAAACACACTTGAGAAGCAATTTGGAGACGTCCCTTTTGGATCTGGGAATATGGGGTCTGCTGTTTTCGGACATTTCATTTACCAAACATTTAATCGGAAAATAATTTTACAATGAATCAATATTAAAAAAGGATTCTTGGGTAATGGCACGTATTTCTTAAAAGTGGATATTTGTTTGTCTGTATATAAGAAGTGGACTTGGGCATCATGACGTCACCCATTGGCTTGTGTAATGCGTTTTTCAAGCCTTGGAGTTTTGCATTTTGGGCGTCGCCATCTTGTTTTTTTGGAACCAAAAGAGACACGAGAGGGTGGAGCTAAGTACAATGGAATACCTAAAGCATACCTTGTTTTGTTGTCTATTTGACTCTAAATGGACAATAATTTCCGAAACGAACATCATGCTGTATTGAAGAAGACTTGAGACTAGCGATTGAGACCATAAACTCATGTTTACAATGTTTACTAAGGTAATACATCAAGTGAGTAGTAGTCATTTTCTCATAGACTTCTATACAACCAGAGGAGTCGCCCCCTGCTGGTCATTAGCAAGACTGCAAGTTCAAGGCCCTTCTGCATTAGCCTCACTTTTCAGACCCAGTTTGCTCTCTGCGTCTGTATAGTGGGGGTATTGGTGAGTAATCTGATTTCTTAGCAACTGAGTGTTAACAGGGCCTTTGGAATATTCAGAATGTCACTTTACCTCCCACAGTCATATAGTTTCTTGTGATGTTTTGGTGCTGGTGCTCGGGTTCAGTGAGGTATCGCCAGCAGCAGGCAGACCATGGTGCTCCCACGCCTCCTTCTGAATTGTCTCCCAGGCAAGACTTCGGCTTGTGTTGTTTTTCCCTGTGCTTGTTATCTTTTGCTACTCAGTGCTTAAGCGTGCAATTCTCCTCTCCCATCAGCGGCTCATGCTGAACACTTTTGTTGCTTCCATAAATTTTGCATGATTCACATCAGCGGCTCCCCGTGTCCATCTCGCTCCGATACTCGATCTCTCCCTGCACTACCTCACTGCTGTCTTACATAGAAACGCTACACAAGTTAAAGGACGTTTTGTCAAGTTCCCTCATCTTTTACGGGTTCAGCTCAGTTCAGTGCCTGGTTCTTGTGTGGTTACGGGGCTTCTGCTGATCTTCAGGCTGCCATTGTTCCAAAAGGGAAAGGAAAGAATAAGATGTATAAATACAGGAATTGTTTCTCTATTTTCTTGTAGTGAAAGTGTTTTTCGGTCAGGACAGGTATCTTTTCCAGTAGAGCGATTCTTCTTTTTTTTTTTTTACAGTGCTCTTAAGACCATGCAGTTGGTGGATCATTTGTGTGGTTATATACTGTTGCTTGAAGGGCCACATTCTGAAGCACTTAAGCTTAGTTTATACTCGCTGTAGTGAAGCGCCAGAGAAAGAGGTAATCACAGTCTGTGCGCTCTCTCTGCATTTTTGTAGCATGGCGCGCGCAATCAGTCTTTTAGACGTGAAATAGGTCACTGATAAAAGCACTATTTACATGTCTAGGGATTATACAAAGGTCAATTCACATTTAAATGCTTGAGAAACAGGAGGTCTGAAAAATATATTTTGCAGCCAAATCGAATTGTTTAGAGGATATTCAATTTGTTTCTTTCTAATGCATGTCATACTTAACTTCTTTCTTTACAGGGCTTGTACAAAGTCAATAAAGTAGTCCGTGAATATGAGATATGAGCTTACAGTTAATTACAATCCCTCCTCGGCATAGTGGAAGTTGGTTTATGGCGCTTTGACAGTTTCACTAATTGTCTTTTTGATTCTTCGCAGTTCATTTTGTTTGTATGCCCTCTGGCGTTTCTGAGAATAATGCAACAAGCAGCGCATTTTAGCATAAGCGCATTTGTGCACGCTCGGAGCTTACGCGCATCTGCGCAGGCTCCACGCTACGATGCCAAGAGTGTAAACAAAGCTGTAGAGTTAAATTAGGGTGAATGAGCTG